CGAAAAAAGTGTTCATTTTCTCGTCAAATTGCAGGTGCGAATAAACTACCTTTATTCCAAGAAGTTCAGTAAAGAAGACATTTTCAAAATTGTAAAAAACAGCAGGTTTGTATAATATTCCTAACATTCTGTGTAATTCTGGCAAATAGTTGTTGTCTATCGTAGTCGCAGCGAAAAAGATGGTGCTTGAAAAGCGTTTAGTTTGTGGCGTTATCGAAATTGTAAGAGGGCCACTACTCGTTGGCCAGAAGTAGTGAGGTGATGAAGTAGCGACTGTTCAGAATATCACAGCTTGTACGTTGGCGTAATTGAGGAAAGGAGTTTGGCCAGGAGGGAATCTTTGTCATTTCCGGGCCTTCGACATGTTATCGATTACATTATCGGCCTGCTTCATATCTTTAGATCGTAATAAATCTATACCTAGAGTCTGTAACACGCAAGCTGATCTTTAAATTTTGCTGGCTTTTTGTAGGTCGATGCAAAACATGAGGTACAGGATTTTTTAATATGTAAAAGTTGACTTTAGTCCGTATTTGATATATTTGAAATTGTGCGCTTACTTTAGCATCGTCTTACAAGTGGGCAGTTTACAAAAATTTCGAAAACTAAAACTGCTAATAGTTAAGTGAAGGCAAAATCTTAAACCGTTTCAGACAAAATTTTACTTTACCTATGGAACTGTAGTTTTACAACTAAACGATGTTACAAATTAATAGTTTTTTGAAAGATTCATGAATCTATTTCTTAAAATTTTGTTAAAATAACGTTATTGGTCTTCGTTTCTGACAGATTTTGGTTGAATACTGATGTAAAAACAATCGATGCTCGCTTGGGATGGCTTCAGAAAACATTTGAATTGACAGGCGATGAAGTACGCCAAGTTATCGTGAAGGAACCAAGAGTTATCATGTTTGGCGTCGGGCCGTTTGAGGTCTGGCATACTAAAGCTATATAAATTAGATTTAATATAAATGCAGTTTTTTACTAGCCGGCAGTGAAAATCGCTTTGAACGATTAAGCTAGAGCTAAAGGTGTATACCTCTAGCTTGAGGTATTTGTCTGTCCAGTTGACGCATCAGATTGTTTAATCCACATACCAGTGTTTACGCGAACTCCGCTTATGACGATTGCTCGCGAAGCTTTGGATCATTACTTGCTAATCAGATCGGTGGCGACCAACCAAGCAAAATATTTAATATCAACTCGTTACTGCCTCCATGCCATATTAATGTGTCTTAATGCGCCTTCGAGAAAAATTCACTCTTCTAAACTAATTATAGCGAACTGTGATCATGTTTATCGATGACTTTGAGTTTACGAAAAGGGAAGTGAAAATGATCCTGTTCAAAGA